GGAAGGTAAACAGAAGCATACAGCGGAAGCGGAAGTTTTTTTTCTTCTTCTCTCGGTTTTTTGGCGGATTGCAACTTTAAGGTGCATACCGCCACCTACTGTACTCGCCGTGAAGTTGTTTGCGGCCTGCCAGGAAAAGCTAAGCAGAAGAAGAAGAAGTGACGTCAGCGGCTCATTTGCCTACCCACCCCCAGGAACTAATTTTGGTGTGAACGCGATCTGCTTTAGTTCGTCAGAACTAAAAGAACTCTCATGAACTAAAGTTCTCAGGAACTACTGTGGGAAAAGTACTTGGTGTGAACGCGCCTATAGTGTACCATAGTATAACCCTGGTACATACCGTTGTACCACAGCTGTTACCATGGTACATACCATGGTACATCCGATACTATAGTACATGTCGCGGTACCTCAGATAACTGGTACTCCATAGAGTATTCAAATGGTACTACAGACATTACCATGGTATGTATCATGATAATCACTCAAGTCCCATTGTATGCATTTTTTTTTTTTTTTAAATGTGAATGCAGGTCTTATACTTTGTTTAGTATTTTTCATTGCTGTTTTTAGTTGGTTTCCCTTTAGGTAACATATATTTTCATCTTCTTTTTCAACACATCTTCACACAAAATAGCCAAAGAATTACACTTTAGATAAAGATGTTCTCAATGTTGTTATTGAATGAGACAACTGAGTTCATACAGCGCTTCAATGTGGCGTTTTACTCACATATTTAGAAATATCCATACAGATTTACCCAGTCACAGACACAAACACACATGCATTACAAAATACAGTTAATGATCAAACAGTGAGTTATAAAAAAACAATAATAGCATAAAGAAAAACACATTTAAATCATCATATATGTGCAGACAAATTGAGTCTCAACAGTTTGTGCTAGCCCTCAACATTTAACTTGTCTCAGGCATTTTCATCACATATAGCTTACCCCCATGTTCAATTGCAATACATTTAGCTACTATGTCTTCACATGTCAATACATACAATTCATTGGAGATCTTTACTTTTACAAGAAATGTTGCAATGTTTGTATGGATCTCTGCATCATATATAGCTGGCTGTATGTGCTCCTGCTGCAATGGCTTGTAGAAAACAAGAAGTTCTCTGCAACAACAGTTTGCACCTCTTTCACAGTTGCAGGGTTTTGGTACAACAACCAAGGACTCTACCATACCAAAGCAATTTGAGGTTTCTATCACTGAATTATTTCTTTTGAAATGCATACTGTAGTCTCTGGTGGTGACTAAAATGTTTTTATACACACAACGCTTATATTCAGTTACACTATTAAGATGTTGGTACCTTGTGGGTGTACTGTTTTGCAGTGCAGCAATCTCCCTCACATGTAACAGTCTGTGAGAGCCACATCCTAAAGTTACTAAATGTTCTCTTATGCAGTTTGCTGACTTCGTAACAATGTTACTACTGGTCAAGGAAAAGAAAAGATCTTGCATTTCTCTGCTTGAATCCTGGAGTAAAGCATTTCCTTTTCTTACAACTTTCTGATATGAAAAGAAATTCTTAAAAATCTGTGATGAAACTGATTGCGTGCCAGAGTACAACTGCAAGAGTTTTCCATTCATGTCTTCAAACACAAATGCTGAATTGTCCCATAAAAGACCCCAGTCCCTGGCACTCTGGGTAAGATGTGTCAACATATGGCAGTTATATGAACAATGTTCAGGGGCCTCATTTATAACGCCTTGCGTAGGATTGACGTGAGAAGGTTGCTTACGTAGTACAAAGCAAAAAAATAGGTACAGAAATGTTCCGACATTTTCCGATTCACAAAACATTGCGTACCGGCGAGAGAAGTGCGTACGGCACTTCCTACGCTGTTTCCCTTTATAAATCACAATCGACTCGAAATGCGGCGCAGCTTTTGCAGGCTTCACGTAACGCCCATATTTGCCTATAAATAGTCAAAGAAACGCCAATTCATTCATTCATTTTGACTGACTGCATGAAGAAGATCGCAGGAAATGACGACAGAACAGCTTAAAAAAGACATCTCACACCGTGTCAGATTTTGGTTATTTTGGGGAGGTCGAGATAAATCATATTGTTTGGTCGATGCAGTTTGAACCAGAGTAGCAGCATGGAGGTCGGATCGTCACCAAAATAAATAAATAAGTGGTCCGAAAAAAGTTAATGACAAAAAAAATACACATAACCTTCCTCAGGCAGTGTGTTTGTCCCGGGGACAGGAGACCCCCCCTTGATGAGAAACTGTAAGAAATGATCGGGGAATCCCTCCGGAGTGGAGTCATGACGACTGGATCTGAATTATTTTGTTGTATTTGGTGGTTTGTGTTCCAGCTGTCGATCAGCAACTATATATCCATAATCCACCAGTTAAAGGAAATACAACTAATGTGTTGTGTTATATTAGCTGTACAATTTACCACAATTTACCACACTGGCAAGGACAAGAAGATTCGGAGACAGTTTCTTCCCGCGGGCAGTGAGACTGTTAAAAAATGGAACTGTTGAAACAACTTCAAACATTCAACTGCTACTCAGTAGTATGTATCTAATACCTAATATATATATATCATTCCAATAACTTGTATAGACTCATACTGCACTATTCCACATCATAACTTTATTTCATTTTTATAACTATTATTATTTTTGTATTGCTAATGCTCTTATTGTTATTATGTTATGTTATTATGTTGCATTGTTGGAGAAGCCTGTGACATAAGATTTTCAACTGCATAATTACTCTGTAGCTATGTCAGATTGACAATAAAGAACCTTGAACCTTGAACCTTGAACATATGGTGTTCTTAGTTTCCATACCTCCTGTGTTTTACGAGCGACTTATCAAGTCTTGGCAAACGGCATAAAACACGATTAAACGTGATAGTATATAAAACCATGCTCGTATCTACAACCTATAGAAATGCAAAACGGCGTCAGTTTAGACGTTATTCTGTCCTCCTGCTTACCGCATCATTTATGAGAAAACATTTCATAACATTAACACAACATATTCGAGGTGGTTTTAAATAACATATCCGTATTTATTTATTTCTCCAAGTTATGTTTTTGTGTGCACTGAGGAGTCTCAAACAGGCGTTTGTTTAATCATTTTAAGATTGGCTTTAATCAATGTTTGAAAATGAATTCTTCATATTTGATAAATGAGAGGTAACATTTTATTTATTTCCACATATTTCTCTCCATTCTTCCATCGGTCAACGGTGTCGCAGTTTCTCGTCTCTCCTGTTTGTGTGCTTAGTGCGTACGCATGGGTTAGAGTTTGCGTGGAGGACCGCACATTTTCCCGTCAAGTTAGTATTTTATAAATCGCAAACATTGCGTAGAAACTGGCGTATGCCATTTTTTGAGCGTATATCCCTTTATAAATGAGGCCCCTGGTCCATAAAGATCTGGTACTTTTGCTACAAATTGAACTAAACATAACTCTGCACAATTGAGCTCATCATGAGTGGCAAACTGGGATAGGAGGATGTGAACCGCATATGCAAGAAGCATCCAATGTTTGAAGTAAAGTCCTGGCAAAACAGTCCTTAATATTACAGGGGAATAGAGAAGAGCAAATGCCCTCCACTCAGAAGCTTTCCAATATATCCTCTCACTTAAGCGCCTAGGATTTCTTCTAATTTCATTTGGTGGCTGAATCTTACACAAAGCTTTGTCCAGGTCATCTAACTGAAGAGGAGTCAAGTGAAAGTTCTTGTTGGCATAATGAGGGTCAAACCAAAGATTAACAAATTGACGCACTACACCAAGACAAAAACAATGCATGTAGTCTGGTATAAAGCCTTTGATAAGGTCAAATGATGGCAACAGGATCAGTGGACTTGGTCCTTTAACACCCCTTTGAGCTTTGTCATCACCGTTTTCCATCACTAACTCGGCAAGTTGTACAGTTTCAGCCATTTGTCTCAGTTCACATCCAACTATCTGTACAGGATAGACTCTAGTAAAACCTCTGCCTTTTGGTACCACCTCCCCTTTGTGGTAGCAAAAACCACATCCAAATTCTCCATTGAACTGTTTAAAGTTCTGTACCATTGCCCTTGCTACTGCATCAGAAATACATATTTTAGCTGTTACTCTGGTGTGATGTTCTAATCCATTATCATCTTTCCAATAGAATCCTGTGTCCCTCAGTTTTTGAAGTTCATGGATGAATGGGGTGAAGTAACTTTGAACCTTGGGTTTCCCTTTGCCAAACCATAATGTATGCAATAGAACATTTTTACATCTATCCACAAATGGTAATTCATTGATAGTACACAAGATGGGCCAAATTGAAGTTTTTGATGAATTGAACACAGGGGCGCCATCACAATTGAAGGTTAGTGTAATACTGTCAGTGTTGACTTCCTGAGCCTCGCGTCTGTATTCACTTCCAGTGTTGATATCAGAAATGGAGGCATCTCTTGTGAAATGCTTGCCTAGCTTTGATTGGACATTGGCAAGGATATTTCTCAGTTGCACTTTAAGTGGCATTACAAGGAAATAGTATGCTTTCTCAAGTAGACCCTTTCTGTTCAAGCTCTGCTGGCACACCCCACACTCATTACCTGGTTCAACACCGAGGTAGTTTGCACATCTGGGACAGTAAAAATGAATTTCTGTTTTGTCATTATAATCAAGAAAGTATTTCTCTAAATACCACACTGACTTTGGCACACATCCGGGCACCACAAAGTTTAGGAGCTCGAGGAGGTGTTTGGTCGCTGCTTTTGACAGGCCATGCTTCAGGATAAAAGCCATGAGAAGAAGAAGGAGAGCTGCCATTGTAACTGAAGAACCAGCATAGATCTTCTTCTCACCATTGAAGGTAGGGTCAAATACATGCTCCTAATAAAAAGGATAACACATTATATGTCAATACCAAAATAAAATGTCTATATTTTCAATATTTAAGCAAAATAAACACATTTAGCTAAATGATCTCACCATTGGATCTTCTGGAGTGTCGTCACCAGATGGAACTGAGTTAGCTCTATCTTCATTCTATAATACAGAAGTTGCAGAGATATAGAAAGTTAGTTGTGATCATATCCAGTCCTGTATTTAGGCCAGGTGCAGAAGAGCATTTTCCCAGGTAATTTATCCTGTATGTCAAGTTTCTGTCTTACAAATTCAGTTGTTTGTAGAGTTTGCTACCATACCAAAGCAGATTGATGTTTCTATTACTGAATTATTTGTTTTGAAATTCATACTGTAGTTTCTGGTGGTGACTAAAATGTTTTTATACACAACGCTTATATTCAAGGATATTTATCAGTTGCGTTAACAGCCAGTGCCACATTTTGTCTTTATCTTGTTATGAAAAACAATTAAAAAGTGTAACTCCTGATTCAGCCAATCACCTTCTTTATGTTCATCAACAACGTTTATAGTTCCAGTGTGATCTTGATGATGTAATCATAAACAGTGGGCTCTGATTTAGTGTCATGCTGTTAACATTACCTGGTCTGTCCTAAATAAACTTATACAGCTATAATCCATTGTGTCCTAAAGAAGCACTATATTGTTACCACCAGAAATACTAAACTGTTTGCTAAGCAGAGGAGATACATGTTTGCCAATATAATAATGAAAACAATCTTACACACCATTACATCTTCGCCTGCACTTTCATCTGAAGTGTTTGTGCCTCGGTCAGAGTTCTGTAATATAAGAGCAGCAGAAGTCGTAGTTAAGCCAAACACCAGTTTGTCTTTTTGGAACAAAGTGGACCTGCACAAATTATACCATTTCATGGTTTGGATCTTCCCCTCTGTCCTCTGATGACCCTCCAGACAGGTGGTCAGCCTGAGAGACAGCAAAAGGCTATAAGATAAGATGGATCTTTATTGATGCCCATAGGGAATGCACGTGTTATAGCATGCAGCAACAAAATATATTTAAATGGGAAGGTAGCAGTGCGGGTGAAAGTCGTATGTGCATACAGTGAAAATAATATTAATGTTAACTATAAGTTATAAAATAACTCTCCTGATACATTTAGTTAAATATTTGTAACCCAACTCATTTTGTGTCGGATAAATCTGTATTCTTACCATCATAGAAAACTGTGTTGTCTCTTACTGCTACCTGTAATGTAGCAAAGGTGATGGATTTTAACAGAATAAATTATTTTTTTAATAAGTAAAACAATCCCTGCATGTTTATGTTGTACCATTTCATGTTGTTGATCTGTTCCTTCGTCGTCTGCAGCCATCTCTAGTTCATCGTCACTCTGAGAGACAGAAAAGTAGAAATCAAATTAATTCAATTAAAAAAAAGAGGGGCTATTCCTGAGGCAGGCATCATAAAAAGAGCATTCAAGCAGGATACAAAGACAGTACATGACGGACGAACGATGACCATGTGGCAATGCACAGTGGCAATGCATTAAAAAATATATCAGTGACCAAGTAGCATAGTCATAAGTCCACCAGTGAGTCCAATTTCTTAAGTCTGGATCAGTCAATGCAAAAAACTACCATTTCATGATGTGGATCCTCCCCTCTGTCATCTGATGTCCCGCCAGAATGGTGATCAGCCTGAGATAAAGCAAAAGGCTACACAATAACTATCCTGATAATATGATTTTAATTAATCTAACACAACCTTTTGTCTCTGTAATACATTATACTCTCACCCACCATTTGATCTTCATTTGAGGCTTCATCACTGGATGAGTCAGAGTCTGTAAATTGATAAAATCACACAGCTGTTACACAGACATTTATACACACATTGATTGTGGGCATTTTAATTTGGCATCTCAGCAAAAAGCTAGGTTTGGTTTATGTATGTCTCAGCTTTTTTAGAGTCAATATTGATTTTATATGTTATATAACATAATTTACATATTGCCCTACTGCTATCAAAATAGGAATAATAGCAGTATACACGAAGTGAATCTATACATCTAAAAAACGTTTCAAAATGTTGTAGTATACTCTGCTATAATTCGTTGAATACAGTAATGTGAGACAAAAACCACCAAATGAAATACGTCTTATATTGGCAGTTCATCCCGTTCGTCCAATATGAAGAGAAAACCCGTCCTTACCTGTCACAAATTGTGCCTCCATACGGGTCCTCCGGTACCGTTTTGTAGTCCTGGGAATATCTATACCTAAATCTGACAAATATCTTTTGTACATTCTCAGGTTTTCTCTCTTTTTGTGAATGAGAATCAAAACTAAAGAACTTTTTCCAGGCACGGATTATTCTGCCGCTGAGGGTAGCTGGTGAGTGGTGACGTGCGCGTGCCCAACTTTCGCCTCGTGCTTCCCGCTTCTCTAGCGTTGCTAGGATACAGACCTCCGCAGTGCCAACTGCAATCTCCGGTTTGTAATCACTTTGTTGCCACTACGCTACTAGAATAGATTTACATTGTGCAATTTTCCAAACTCACATTGGTTTCTCATACAGCATCTCTGTATAGTATGTGTATTCACCAGGGGCGTCGCCTGGACCTGAAAACATTCGGGGCTTAGCCCACAGTGGCGGCGGCACTACAGTGGAATATTCTACTGCAACACTCCCCACACGCACACACACACAGTACACCCGCGACTGTTACAATGAAGGCTCGATAATCAGCTCACGGCATATAGGCAGGGGTAAAGTGGTATTTTTTATGAGTGGGGGGCTCACCTCCTCTAGGGGGTCCGGGGGGATGCTCCCCCGGGAAGATTTTTTTTTAAATATTGAAGTTAAATGCATCAATCTGGTGCACTTTGAGAGCAAAATGAAGAGATCTATGGATACCTCTCTCAACACCCATATGAAGCAGAACTGTAAACAGATGTACTTTTTCTTTAAGGATATTTTACTAATCACTCCCCTTTTAAACTCTATTCTTGTTTTACTGCCATATAGTATTTCATAACTGTTTTTCCTTTATTCTCTTATTTTTTTTATAACTATAATGATCATATGAAGGTGTGCCGCGGAAATAATCTTTTGAATAATTTGTGACCAAACCGTTTGAGACCCACTGAGATAACTTAGACTAAAGTTAAGTATCTAAACACTCAGAGAGTCCTTTAGCTCACCTGAGTCTCTCAGTCTGAGAGGAGAGGACTCTCCTCCAGCTTCTTGTGGAACAAACAGCTCCTTATGTCCGTTAGTGCAGCTAGCTAACCAGATGCTAACAACACGGTCCATGCTGACACCGGTCCCTCCCTCCCCCTCTCTCCCTCTCTCTCTCTATCACACTAAATGCGCTATTGCCACACACACACAGAGCCGAGCTTGAATGACACAAGCACACGTTTATTTCCATGCAACTCTCTGATTGGTCTGGTGTCATGCCTCTGTTGCATTCACTGAACACGGGAAATTACAGTGCTGCCGTCCTCTCTTGTGTCATGATGAGGTTCACGTAAAGCACGGTTAATGTATTATATTATTGAGGGAGAATTGTCCGGGGCTAGAGAAAAAACATTCGGGGCTAAAGCCCCGGATGCCCAGGCCAGTAGAGATGGGCGAGTCCTGATTCATCCGGATCATTAACCCGGATCCTAGAAATGAGCTGGTCATGACGAGTCTCCCCTCTCCATTAAACCGAGTCCTTGAGTCCCACACTTGGTGTGACGTACAAATTAAAACTATAAATTGCGTCACTCGCTACTCTCTTTATAACATGTAAAATCACATTATAACGTACCCCAAGTCCATCTACCTACCCTTTAGCAAGTATACAGTCACAGGATAGCTGCCAGAAGTGATCGTTTGGCTCAGGGGAGGGGACGCGGATCAGTGAAACTTCCTGCAGACTCGTGGGGACTCAGAGGAGCCGACGGCTCCAACAGCAGACTCGCAGATTCGCAGATTCGCAAATCCTGACTCGCTGCAACACACAGCGGATCAGACTCGTGCGGACTCGGAGCCGTAACCGTATAGCAGCAGATCCAGCAGACTCGTCGTCATGCACGAGTCCACAGCAGACTCGGATTCGCAGATTCGCAGATTCGCAAATCCTGACTCGCTGCAACACACAGCGGATCAGACTCGTGCGGACTCGGAGCCGTAACCATATAGCAGCAGATCCAGAGATCCAGCAGACTCGTCGTCATGCACGAGTCCACAGCAGACTCGGATTCGCAAATCCTGACTCACTGTGTGTGCAACACACAGCAGAGCAGACTCGTGCGGACTCGGAGCCGTATATAGCAGCAGATCCAGCAGACTCGTCCTCATGCACGAGTCAACAGCAAACTCAGATTTGCCAAATCGCAAAATAACCCTTTTTTTTGTGATCAACATTTTTTATTAAAGCAAAATACACTGTGTAGCGGAGGTTAATTATAACGTCAGTTTAATAGATAGATAGATAGATAGATAGTACTTTATTGATCCCAAATTGGGAAATTGTTGTTGTTACAGCAGCATAAAAGGCATTTTACAATAAAACAAAACTACAAAATATACAAGAATGGAAATAAAAATAAAATATAAAATATACATGTCGAAATAGAAAATATACATGCAGATATTATATATATATATATATATATATATATATATATATATATATATATATATATATACAAATATATATATATATATTCAAAATATATGGAATAATAATATGCTCGTGAAATGCAACAACTTTTCGGTTTCACCAATAGGATTTCTACGGTCTTGGTCATGCTGACTCATATGACTCAAATGACTCGTATGATCCGGATCTCTTCAATGACTGACTCAGAAGACCCTGAGTCCGTAAAATGATCCGGATTTGCCATCTCTACAGGCCAGGCGACGCCACTGGTATTCACTCTCTGTCCTACACGCCTTGTTGGAGCTGCCCAGCGCAGCAGCAGCCAACCAATCGCTGACCGTTGCTACCCGAAAAATATGACAGCACATTTCAGCCAATCAGCGTCCTCAGATCTGTTAAATGAAAGGCGCTCTATAAATCCGCTCTAAAGTTATTATTACAAATAAAAATACTGTTTTTTATCTAAAAAAGTGTCGCCCATTGGAAACAGTAATTAGTAAAAATATACTTATATTCTTCAGAAAGATTATATCAAAAAAGCAGCCCTCCATAGAGTACATTATCCTTCAGGTAGCTCTCAGTTTCAAAAAGGTTGCAGACCCCTGGTATAAAATATGCCCCCATCCCCCCCATCTTCCACAGCCCCACCTAAAATATTTTTCACCAGCTGCCACTAATATATAGTTTAACTCACCTGGCTAGGTATTATCAGCTAAGTATCATAAGTATACTCATAATGGGTGTAGCATGACCATATGTTATATTTTCCTATACAGAGTATCATTACCAACATATTGTCATGTAAGCAGACAATGTGACTCACATACAAATGTTGATGTACCCTATATATATATATATGGATTGTACAAAGTAATAGGCTGAATATCTTTGTTGCTTCCAACAGATGACAAAGGTGCACTCCTCAAAATGAGGAACCGGCTGGTTGAAGGTAAAGAACCTTTTGAACAATCCGGGCCGATGGGAAAAGGCAAGAGGGCAAAGAAGAGGAGGCCTTTTTCTGGAGGAGGACGACGACGTGGAACAGTCAGAGGTGAGTTATTCAAAATCGAAACACCACAACTTTATGAAGATACACACACAACCACACACAAAAACAAATATTTATTTTTATGTTGTTGTCTGTTCTCAGGAGAGACCAAGCAAAAAATCACGGCTGGAGTCATCAGACATTATCAAAAAATATAAGGATCTTCAGAAGGTATGTATCTGTTTTATACTAAGTCCAAAGTGCAGTGACCTACATTTACCTA